TTATTATATATAAAAAAAGAAGATGTGGTATGATTGGCAATGAGACAACTCTCCACAAGAGACCAAAAATGACACAGAAATTAACAACTATAGGTCGCCGTACGGCCTTCAACAATGAGCAAAGCCCATACCGCATTGTCAGCTCTAAAAGACCCCGACATGTTCATATTAATGATCCACTCTTTGAAACCTAACCTTAGTATGACGAAAGTGCTATATATAACGAAAACAGCGGAGAAATGGATTAAATAGACTTGCTTTATTGTATAAACTAAAAAAAGGTCGGAGTGGAACTAACCCCGAAAAATTCAGTCTCTCTCCGTAATCGATCTCTTCTATATACTTGTTAATGAAATAATCGTAGATCAGCGGAATATAACGACTGAATTATTCGGGTAAGTGAAACAAGTAAATAAAAGTCAAAATTAACCATATGTAGTTCCATAAGGAGGGATCTGGACAGCCTGCCCCTAAATCAGCCTCCGAGTTGAGTCATACGTATTGACCTTTCTTGGCGCACACACGGATTTCATTGCCTATGTGTTTTTTTGTACAAATAAATAATTTGATAATTAATATGCCTTCAATCCATTTTCTTGAGACATATTACACGTACATGAATCATGAATTTTCTACGTTTTTATAATTTTGAACACATAGTATGCCCTGGGATCTGACCTGAAATATACATGAAACATTGAAAATTCACGATAGTAAGGTATATAGGAGCAACATTTAAATTCAAAGGGTTAGGGGTTTGTTCTGAGTCGGAAATAATTCGGAACACAACGTTATTCCCCACTGCCATGCACCAAACATTTTTTTCTTGAAATAAACGGTATGGGGAATTCTGGAATTCCGATTTTTTTTGTCAACTGCCAGACCACAATATTTTTTTCTTTCATCAAATTGGGGATCAGAATATGATCAGAATAGGCCTCCAGATTTCTTTTGGAAAATTTGGTGTTCACCCCAAGAACCGGGTTGGCCACAACATAACAATTTCAATTTTATTTACAATTTACACGGTGTGCATATGTTTAAGTATGTTTAAATGAAGATATTTGCATATAGTTTAGGACTTTATTCATTATAGGTTGAAAAATACAGGCAAAGTTCAGATGTTTATGAAGTGTTATATATTTTTGACTTTTGTGAAACCTTAACAGAATAGACAATTGGGGCAAATCTGATGAAAAAAAAAAACGAAAATTCCTAGTAACAAAAAATTAACCCACATAACAGCAATTGAAATCTCCTCCCCAAGAAATTGTACCTCAGGACCTGTATAATGCTGGAAGTATTTTAATATGCCTTTGGAACACCCTTTTAAAAAATTGGGAATGGTTCTCCAGGCCACGGCTTAGGTAGCACTTCACAGTTAGAAAATAAAATTAAAATTGAGCCACAGAATGTCTGATAATCTTCCAAGCCTGGCCTTCAAATACATTAGGCCAACTGTACTAGCACCCCCTTTTTTCTGAGAAACCCTGGCTAGCACACCCTTCCTTTTTTCACAGTGTCTGGATCCGCCCCTGACCGATACGTAGTACTCAACTATGATCAACTGTAGGTCATAATAAAGGACGAAATACGTAACGTAAATTAATTGAAGCGTGAGGGGCCCCCATATATCACGGCTAAAATTGTACTTAGTTTGTCCTTTTATACAACCTTTTGGCAAGTACCACCATCCGAGAAATCAGTTACCACGATCTTTCAAAATTAACATGAACAGTAACCATCATCAACGTCCTTTTTTTCACTCTCTCTATTTTCTAAGTAATGTACAACTGTTTACGCTTGTCAGCAGTGTTTATCATTGTTTTCATTAGTTTACAAGTTGTGACCTTCGAAATTGTTTTATTCAATGTTCCTATAGATTTTATTGGTAACTCCCTGTGCCCCTAAAAAACAAACAAAATAAAGTTTCCCTCCCACAAAATTTTACACTTAAACGTTGATTTGAAAAAAAAACTTGATTTTATAATTTTGGTTATCAATTGAAATGAACCTTCTAGAGCCTCAACCTAACGCGCACAATAATGTCAATCATTACACATCAAATTTAACCCTAAATTGACATTCCACAATCGGTCAGTAACATCACCTGTGTTTATAGCTACATGATGTTTCCCGCCGTTGGAAGATCTCGTGCAGTGACACAATTGATAAAATCTATTTTTAACATCTCTATTGTGAGCGAAATTTTTGACGTGCATTATTTCATTATTAAAAATGTTCGATCTACATTTGTTGCAGTCTAAAATTTAATTAAAAGAAACGTAATACCATTTCTTTTTCTTTGGCAATTATAGTAAATTAATCTCATCCCGGAATGTATATTCACTTTACCATTAGACCTGAAAGTGATTTCTAATAAATGAAGAAACTGTGTTTCACATTAAAAAAATTAAGAATATTATCGCTCAGGCATATTGATTTTATTTTAAGATGATTGATTGTTGGTTGCTTAACTTCCAGTGGCAAATATTCCATGCAAGTCCGGACAAACTTAGTTTTAAGATCGCACTTTCAAAAATCATTGTAAAACAAAAATGATCAGAAGAACTTTTATTCATGTGAAATAACCGTCAAATCTTTTAAAAAGAACTTATTTACATTTCAAAGTGTAACAGATTAGTTTACAAGACGGGCATTGACGTTAAATATACAATTCCTTGTATCATAGATATAATGGCTATTATATCTATGCTTGTATACATGTACGTAACTTTCATATCATTTAAATTGAACTTTTTTGTCTAAAAAGACAACCCACGAGTTTGCGAAATCGAGTTTGAATGCACTGCATTGTGTGTAAATACATATACAACGACGGTCTGACTCTATGTATTACCAGGGTTGCGTTCAATATCGTAGCGGCTACGTAGTGCTATGTAGATTTTTACTATTGAACGTGTAGCTATAGATAAGCTGCTACATAGATATTGATAGCAACTACATAGCCGCTACGTAGCTGCTACGATATTGAACTCAACCCAGTTGACCCCTGATACCAACTAAGGTTACTAAAGACTTTCCCCTGGCCGTTCATTTTATTTTTGTTTCAATAAACGGTTCTAGAAGCAATTAAATGATCTGCGGCCTCTGACATATAATTAAAAAAAGTAACCATCTAATCCCCAGATATATATAATCTGTTTCTCTCTAAATTTACAGAAATATTATATGATATATTTTTGAAAATTCCTTATATCTCAAATGATTATAGTTACTTTGTTTTTAATTCTGTAAACATCTATATATCATAATTTGTACCACACTACAAGGATCTATTAATAACCGTCGCTCACGCATAACGGATTATACAACGATCTATTAATAACCGTCGCTCACGCATTAGTGATTCTATCAATGACTCAATACACACCAGTTTTATCGGACAAACGGCTAATTCCCGCCGACACGGAAAATCTCCGGATAACATGCAAAATATCCTGTAATACAGCAAATTTACGATGAACCTCTAATTTTTATCCGTTTCGCGGAGATTAGCCAAAAAACACCGGAGTTTTTACAAAAATCGCGGTGATTTTCCAAATAGGTCTGCCAGTGTAAATATAGGTAATTATTGGGTAACTATATTATATAGATTGGCACATTGGTCATATATATGTAATTAACCAGATAGATGAATATAGGTAATTATTGGGTAACTATATTATATAGATTGGCACATTGGTCATATATATGTAATTAACCAGATAGGTGAATAAAGGTAATTATTGGGTAACTATATTATATAGATTGGCACATTGGTCATATATATGTAATTAACCAGATAGATGAATATAGGTAATTATTGGGTAACTATATTATATATTGGGTAACTATATTATATATTGGGTAACTATATTATATAGATTGGCACATTGGTCATATGATTTAAAATCTGTGTAGGAATAACAAACTTTTAAAAGTTAAAAAAAAAGCTCTCTTTTCTGATTATGAGCAATTTTTTCTCTCAACAATCTAAACACACAATAGAACAAATTTATGAATATGACATTCACAATCAATCTAACAGTACATGTGCACTATATTTTTAGCTTTATAATATATTATATTTGTTTGAATTATAAAAGTTTAAGTATATAAATTTAAGTGGAGGCTTTCAAATAGATGTAGAACAGATAATCAGTGCATTCATTGGTATTGAAGAACACTTTGAATAATTATTTATGAACACAGGTTAATGCCACTACAAAGATATGGATTGTGGTGGTCGATTACCTGCCACTGAATCCATATCTGTTTATAACAGGTTTGTAGATGTGTTAATTACTGGAGAATGTTTAAAAAGACAAGTGTGAACAGAGTTGTGCAGTTACCTAATTAGGGTGTCACACTTTAGAATAACATGTGGTCACCAAATGTCATACTACCCCGTAAAACACATACACAATCTCATCAACATGCATAAACACATACTGATAAAGGTAAATCCAGAAAAGTGCATTGGACGCAAGAAATTAATAAAGTATTATTTTCATATATCGGTACATATATAAGTACAATAACACACACACTGATAAACATACCCCTGCAAGTGGCATGTGCATTCAACTCCAATATTAATTGATAAGAATTGTCAGTTTTCCTACTGAATGCAGGTGGTTCTCTTCAGGCACTCCAGCTTTCACCACCATTAAAAATTTAGTGCCACAAAAAAGCCAATGGTGCTGAAAGTGATGTTTAATCACCAACAATCAATCAATCAGATAGTTGAAAATATAAACCAGTACATCAAACAGGAAAATGTATTATTTATACAGCTTATTATATATCCTAAATTATGCAATCATACTCAATAAGATTACAGTTTGAATACTATAGACATATTTAGCCTTTCTATTTAACTTTTTAATTTGTAACTTTTCCTAACTATAATTATATAGTAAGAGGTGTTCCTACCTGCTCCTCAACCTTATTAAAAATATAATGGACATTCCATTACTTATACATATGTATTTCAGATTTAATCGAGCTTCCCTGATAAATGTTGGATTTCTAGAAAGTAATACAGATTGTGACTATATAGCAATGCATGATGTGGACCTTGTTCCTGTTACTGATGGTCTTCCATATACTTACCCAGTAGAGGGACCAGTCCATGTAGCATCACCAGAACTACATCCTATTTACCATTACAAAAAGTTTGTGGGAGGCATTCTATTGTTCAATAGATTTCATTTTATTAAGGTACTGTTTTTAGCCTTTTGTTGTCTAAGTAACAGATATCATTAAGGCCCTAGTCAGCGGGGCACTATAGTAATCACTCTACAAATCTGTCTGTCTGTCCATCTGTTACAGAGAACAAGTTCAACATTCTCACTAAGGATTTTTCAAATGAGTCCTGGGACTCATCATTTTAGGCCAGGGAAAGTCCAAAGTTCTGTAGAGAAGCAATAGTAATGCTTTAATTCATTGTTAAATACTTCTGATCAAATCAAAATGACAAAGAGTCAAATTATGATGACTTTTTTTAACTTGCAATGAAATTGTTATGACTGGACTCAGCAGATATGAGTTTTGATTTATCTTTGGACTCACCATTCCAGCTTTATTTTCATGAGTCCAGGACTTATGCACTCCTGTTTAAAGTAATGATTTTTAGCTGACCTAGCCTTAAGGTGTAAGGTATTGCTATTACTTGTCCCCTACTTATCTATCCTTGTGTGTTGTCCCAGAAATTTTCACATTTTAATTTTCCCTTACACTATGAGGCCAAATTTTATCAAACTTGGCAGGGATCATGTATGAAACATTCTATGTAATATGCTTTATTTGTTCTGATCAGCAAAAATAATCACTACAGGAAATTCTTGATTCTATTAGGTTAATTTTTTATTTTTTTTCTCCTCTAAAAGTACACTGCCAAATATAAAATTTTGTAGAAATGATGATTACGAATGTGTTAGTTTGATAAAGCACAACTATTGCCTATAGCTAAAATTATGTAAATTGATAAATCAAAGGTAAAGCAATGTTTACATAAAATATTTAGAGTTCTTTTTATGATGTCCCAATTAGCATCAATTAAAAGTTTCCTAACATATCTGACTTAAATATTTAGTTTATTGAAACCCTATGCTCTATGTTGCCTATGCCAAAATTTGATTGAAACCTCTGGGATTCCGTCAAATTTTATCAAAATCAAATATTACTTCAGATGAACAAATCATTACTTCAGATGAACAAAACTTTCTCATATGTTTACTCATCAACATCACAGTGACTAATTCACACAATCTGTATAAGTGATTTCCTATAGATTATCATTGAAGTGTTTAAATTCACATTGATAGAAATGCACGTGATGAAGGTTAATTCAGAAACATGAGTTGTGTGCACAGTAATCATGTAATTTAAAAAAAAAATTATATTGATAAATAAAGTACTGATTTCAGATAAATGGAATGTCTAATAGATACTGGGGCTGGGGAAGAGAAGATGATGAACTTTATGTTCGAATTAAAAAGGCTGGTTTAAATGTAAGTACTGCATGTGTTGTTTGAAATATATCTTTTTCTGACAGCTAAGAAAAAGGACTAAAAAGATACTCTGATGCAATTGGATAATTTTTTAAAAGTTTTATGCATTTATAATTATTCATGAACAATTTTTAAGCAGGTTTTCCGAAGGGAAAAAAATCCAGTTATTAAAATGGTGAATCAATCAATGCTTTCCAAATTTTAATATGTTGTTACTGATGACAAAATGGAGGTCAAGTTTGACATTGGCTATTTTCAATTTTACCAATCAGGAGTTATAGTTCTTGATATGTTGGAAATTAGCACTTTATGTTTTATCCGTGCAATAGTTTATGACATGTTCAACCATAGCTTTTCAAATATAAACTGTTGTTACTGGTGACAAAAAGGAGGTCAATTTTTAATATTGACAATTTTCACTTTAATGTTCAGGAGTTATGGTACTTGATAGATTGGAAAATAGCACTTTATGTTGTTTGCATTCAATAACTTTTGTTCTTTTCTTCGGGGTGGATTGTTGTCTCATTTGGAATCATACCACTTCTCCTTATTTATATACCAGGAATTGTAATTATTGATGACTATTCTTTTGTTTTTGAAGGTGACACGACCTCAAGGGATAACAACTGGATACAAGACATTTAAACATATCCACAACAAAATCAAGAGACCAAGAGATAACAAAAGATATTTTAATCAAACAGTAGTAAGTAAACTCGATCTCACTTATTTGTTCACTTTACATGTAAGCTGTAAACAGTATATTATTACTCTGCCCCTTTGCCCTTAAATCTAGCTAGAACACTGATTAAAATCAGAGAATTTTGTCAGCAGGCAATTTAAATCAAGAAATTATGGTTGGAAAATCAAATTGTGGAAAATCATCTTTTCTAGTTGTCAATTTTTCAAATGCAAAATTATAACTCATTGGGTATATTCAGGGATCTCTGTGACCTGTTTTATGATGGCACACCACTATTGTTCAATTATCTTCCGCCATCATCAAATGATTCCTGCCATCATTTAGTTATCTTACGCCATTGTTAAGTGAGCCCTGCCCTAGTCAAAATTTCTTTTCATTTTGCTAGCCACCACCATTTTTGTTAGAAATTATAATCAATTGCATGTAATTGCATAACCCCTATTGTATTATAATCTAAAGGGTCTTCCTGATTACTTTTTTAAAGCCCTGACGGATATATGGCTAAAGATCGCTAATCACTTGTACATGTAGTTCCAGACACCTGACAGGAGAACACTTGATCAAGAGAGGCAATTTATTGCAATATTTAATTACCGGTACTTTTCAGCAAATGTTTATGTAAATTTAGATTAAAAAATAAAATTTCAGTTCAATTAGGAAGAAAAGAGTTTAACAAGTTCAACACGTGATTTTATTGATTTACGCGGTTCACATCCCCATTTATAAACAAGAACAAGGTTATACTCTTACTCGTAAAACAGAACATAATTTCACACCAAATAACAACAATTATCGATCATAATCAATCACTAAGAAATTTCTTATCGTAATTCTGAATTCATTTCGTAGGTTACAATCAAGTTAATACATCCTGTTTACATTCAGAATCGAAAGATGCATGCTGCATGGTCTGTTACTGTGGAATTTGCAATTTTAAGTCATTAAAACCATTTCAGTTTTAAACTTTTGCCCTCCACAAATCTGTATTCAACATTTTACAAAAAAGGGTACAACACATCTTGTTGTTGATGCTGCAATTCATCGATTCCCATTCTTGACATCTGAATTGTATTTGACACTACTACTATAGGACTGTTTGACAGTGTGAAAAACAATCCCCATTTTTGTCTAGCCTGCAACTTCTGTCGCAGAAAGCAAAACATTGGGATAGTGATCTGGCGGCGGTGGTGGTGTTAAATAACTACTTGAAAGCTTCATATTTCAGAGGGTAGAAGACCTGGATGCTTCATACTTTGTATATAGATGCCTTATGTTATGAAGTTTCTGTCTGTCATAAGTCCATTGTCCTTGACCTCATTTTCATGGTTCAGTGACTACTTGAAAAAAAAGTTAAATTTTTTTGTAATGTTAATTGCTCTCTTATTATGAGCAATAGGATAACTATAATATTTGGTATGTGCGTAACTTGCAAGGTCGTCATGTCTGTCAGACAGTTTTCACTTGACCTCAACCTCATTTCATGGATCAGTATTTGTGGTCAAGTCCATATCTCAGATACTATAAGCAATAGGTCTACTATATTTGGTGTATGGATTGAATGTCAGATGTACATGTCCAACTGGCAGGTGTCATCTGACCTTGACCTCATTTTCATGGTTAAGTTGTTAAAGTTAAGTTTTTGTGTTTTGATCTGTTTTTCTAATACTGTATGCAATAGGTCAACAATATTTGGTGTATGGAATGATTGTTAGGTGTACATGTCCACCTGGCAGATGTCATCTGACCATGACCTCATTTGCATGGTTCAGTGGTTAAAGTTAAGTTTTTGTGTTTTAGTCTCTAAATTTCAACCCATGGCATGGAATTATCCTCGACTGAATCCATCAGTATTTTGAAGTTGTGTTTCCAATTGATGGATTTAGGTTCATGATATTTCTGGCTTTTGGATTTTAATTTGAACTTACAGCATTGGGCTAGGCCAACAAATCATAGGGTAATAAAAGTTAATTGAAACTATGTTAAAAAATAAATATATTCTACCTAAAAAAGAATAATTTACACTGTATATCTTTTTCATAATATCAATAATTAAATGTTGCTGACACAAAGTAAATAGATATTTGTATTTATTATTTTGCAGCTGACGAGTCGCCTTGACAAAGAGACAGGTGTTACTAATGTTAGATACAAGGTAGACAGTAAAACCAAGATTGTCATTGAGGGAGCACCTGTCACTTTTATCAATGTTCAGTTAGAATGTAACACAGTATTAACACCTTGGTGTTTAAAACCTGAAGATCAAATAGAACTCAGGAGGAAACTGAGATTACCAATGCCCAAGGTCAAGTAAAAGAAGTTAAAATGTATGGACAGTGGAAATTCTTTGCAATCTTTAGTAAAAGGAGTTGAAAATTTAGGAAAAATTGAAATCCTGTGTAGTCTTTATTAAAATATACTTGACTATGAATTGAAATCTTGGTTGTTTATAACTATTTATGTTATTTTCAAAACGGTTGTTAAATTTTCCAAGTTTGACACTTTAAAAATACATATTGGTGTCATTTTTAATCTAGAAACTTACAGAAGTCAATAGGTAATAGATAAATATGCGATAGTTATTTTAGAGGATCACATATTTAAAAAGGGAGGAATGAAGTTAACATTATTGACCATTTGCAATCAAGTTATTTGAACAAAAACTAAGCAGGTCATTATTCAGTATGATACAAACAATGTGGATTTGTTATTCACATTTCAGAAAATAATGCATCCTGGGTAATATTAAAAAAATGTAAACCAAAGCGTTATAATTTGTTAAAAAATATTCTACCAAAGAGGAAACATTACATTATTTTCATTTTAGTGTTTGAACACTGAAATTACCCATAATCCTTTACATTCAGAAATGGTGAATTGTTATTACTTATGTATGTCTTCTTATTCTGTGATATCATTGATCAGTTTACAAATGTTGTTTATATTTAAATAATATTGATGATGTAAAACTAGTCCATATTAATTTTAAGCTTTTCATTGTTTTTAAGAATACTTTATTATTGAGCTTAATCAACATGGATATTATTTTTAAACTGTTGTTATATGACCACAAAGTTGTAAGAGTTATATTTGTATGGTGCTATCATAGATTTCACTGGCATTTCTTTGTTTTTGTCTTCTTACACATGCACTTGTCTCTAAAAAAAACCCTATTTACCTTAATATAACACAAGGTACCCCAAAATATCTGATTACCAAACAAAATGTATAGTACCAGACATTGATCTCAAAGTTCTCTCTAATAATGAACTGGCTACCTCATTCAAAAGTATAAAGTGTAATATAAGATAAAAATTGATTTTTATACGGTTGCAAAATTTTTCTTCGTCATTCCAAGACATTTGGTTTCCAGACTTGAAAATAAGTGCATGGATATTTATGAAATTGTACCACAAGGTTCCATACCACGAAAAGGAAGATTGGAATTGGTTTTGGGGGTTATTGTTCTAACTGTTTAGGAATTATAGTAGGGGCCAAAACGTGGCCAAAAACAAGCATTTTTCTTGTTTCAGGACAATAACTTGTGTATAATTGTATGGATCTCTATAAAATTGTACCACAAGGTTCCATACCTGGAAGGAAGGTTGGGATTGATTTTGGGGGTTGTGGCCCTAACTATTTAGGAATAAGGGTCCAAAAAATGAGGATTTTCTGGTCACCAGACAATAATTTGAGTAAAAAACTATGGATCTCTATGAAATTGTACCACAAGGTTTCATACCAAAAAAAGGAAGGTTGGGATTGAATTTAGGAGTAAAAGCCGTAACCGTTTAAGAAAAAGGGGCCATTAACAAAACTTTTCTAATACTTTGTATAAATTGCTTATTTTTTTATTATTTTCAATGAGATTATTTTCAAAGTCTTGAATTCTGTGGTTCTTTATTATTCTGAATCTAAGTGTATTTAGATTTTTAATTTTAGACCCTGTTTTCAAATTGGTCCATATTAAGTTCCAAAGGGTCCAAAATTAAACTTAGTTTGATTTTAACAAATATTGAATTCTTGGGGTTCTTTGATATGCTGAATCTAAACAGTTATTTATGTTTTGATTATGGGCCCAGTTTTCAAGTTGGTCCAAATCGGGGTCCAAAATTAAACTTTGTTTGATTTCAACAAAATGGAATATATGGGGTTCTTTGATATGCTGAATCTAACTGTGTATTTAGATTTTGGATTTTGGGCCCAATTATCAAATTGGTCTACATTGAGGTCCAAAGGGTCTAAAATTAAACTTTTGTTTGATTTCATTAAAAATTAAATTCTTGGGGATCTTTGATATGCTGAATCTAACCATGCATTTAGATTTTGGATATTGGACCATAAAAGGTAAATGTTCAATTTCAAATTTTTAAGTTCTTAAGACCACATTAATTTTGTGTCAGAAACCTATGCAATGTCAAATATTTGTTCACAATCAAATTCAGAGCTGTATCAAGCTTGAATGTTGTTCAGGTTTCGACCTCTGCAGTTGTATCAAGATGCACCCTGCCATACAGGAATATTTTTACTGCCAAAGACCAATTATTTTACAATGCAGTCAGTTATTTACAGGTAAATTATTAAAGAATTTAGTTTTAGCAATTAGAAATGTAATTGAAATTAGACCAAAAATTCAGCATTTTGTAAATATTGTCATAGTTTTGTTGTTAACAGATGTTATTCTCTACAAAATATTGTAAATGATATTTAACAAATTTACATTTTTGTTATTAGGAGGTTATTACATTGTCATAAACTCACATCTCATTTTCATCATAAATAAGGTCATATATAGGTGTCAAAATCTCCAAACGGTGAAATATTCCCCAATAAATTTTCTGTGCCATTTTTTAGTCCACTTACTGTTATTTTTAATAACAACATAAATGCAAGTTGCATATTTTTATTTTGACGTTAAATATTTAGTTAGATTTTTGGTTGTTGTTCATAACAGTAATTGACATAGCCGGTTTTGCAATGACGAACTTTAAGACTGTTCAACTTTAGAGCGAGGCACGTCTGTATTTTGTTTGCAACATATTTTAAGTTGTATCATTGTTTTTTATGCCCCACCTAGGGGCATTATGTTTTTTTCGGTCTGTGCATCCGTTCGTTTGTCCATCTGTCCCGCTTCAGGTTAAAGTTTTTGGTCAAGGTAGTTTTTGATGAGTTGAAGTCCCAATCAACTTGAAACTTAGTACACATGTTCCCTATGATATGATCTTTCTAATTTGAATGCCAAATTAGAGTTTTTACCCCAATTTCATGGTCCACTGAACATAGAAAATGATAGTGCGAGTGGGGCGTCCGTGTAATATGGACACATTCTTGTTTAACATTGAAAATATTCTTTCAAAATTATCATTATGACTGGTAACACAATGCAATCTTTAGCTACTTCGAACAAAATTGAAAATCTTTTGGAAGAACATACAACTCTCTTGAAGCAACTAAAATATTTACTGTGCATAAATTACAGCACACCATCACAAAGCTTTCGTCAATTCTGGGAAAACATAACAGGATTTGTTTTTCTCTCTTTGGTTCTTGTGGTTCTAAGGTGTTACCCAACACTTTAACTAAAATAGATTTGGCTCGTTTAGTTTTCATAAATTTTTGACAAAATATTATTTTTTGACCTGTTATCAAAGATATAAAAATTTAAAGAAATTTAAACCATACAATTTACAGGAATAATTTCATTGAACAAATAGTAGTTTGACACACTAATTTTGATAATTTTGAAGCTTGATTTCTCTTCACTACTATTATGTGATTAAAACTTTAAGCTCATTTTTAAAGAGTTAACTCCCTTAGGTGTTTTGTACCCCTTAAAGGAATATGATGGCATTTTTAGAAATGTCAGAAAAAAAGGAGAGGTACTCACCTGAATGTGAACAGCTAATAATGAACAATATTTCATTACTACCGTACGATCAGATGAACTACAACATGTTCCAAATGAGCAGGTGACAATTTGAAAAAAATGGAGTTGGAAATTTTGGAAAATATTGTGAGGTTCTTGTTGAGATCGGGAGAGTTTACAATTATTAAAGGTAGAAATAGTAGGTTTTTCTCTTCATTTATAGTAGATGACAGGGATGGGCACGATTACTGACAAATGTAATCGATTAATAATCGATAACATGAAGGTATTTTGTGCAATCGATTAATAATCGATTACTCAGATTTTTGTATGTAATCGATTGCAATCGATTACTTTATCAAAAGTAATTACATTACTTTTCGATTACTGTCAATTACATTCTTCAAAATTTAAAAAAAAATAAAGTAAGTTAAACACTATTATTTGTATGGTAGATATTTAGAACTTTACCAAAAAAACAGCATTTAAATCATTGTTTCCAAATTATAAGTTGACAGTTGTTATCTAGATGGAATCTCTTACTGAGGATCAGAATTATTAAAAAAATCTTGAAATTTGACTTTCAACATGAATTAGAGATGACATTGCATTCCATCAATCACTTATATACATGTTTAAGGTTTTTTTCAATAATTTTGCTTTCATACTGACTTAAGTTAGCTTTTTTGTTTTTATTCATTAAAAGCAGGTATATTTTAGCATAGTTATTTACAATGTTGGAAGTTTTCTCTGAAGAAAATATAAAAAAGTAGAATTATTAATTAGTTCAGCTAATTTTAAGGATCAAAATTTATAATTATAATGACAAACATGATTTAATCCTTTTGTTGGAAAACCACCTTAATTATAGGTTATAAAACTGCCAATGGAGTACAATTTATAACCTGGGGCAAAATAATGTAAATCTCCATCTTAATTAGACAAACAGTAATTGAAATAAAAACAAAGTATGTGTCTTATATAGTGATTAGAAGACTTTGATCATCTGATTAGTAAAGACAAGAAGTTGGTTAAGATTTTTTTATTCTATAATAAAATTATAAACAGTATATATTTATAGTGTCAATGAGGGATACATGTATCTTTTTCTGAAAAGAATTTCAATGCATAGGCATTGGTTCATTGTTAAAAGGATTTTGTGTACTTATTTTTTATATACATGTATATCATAACATTATAAGAAATCAACTGTTTATCTATTCTAAGCTTAAATCTTATTGAAAATTATGCTTTTAGGAAATTTAATACAAATAAGCTTACTACTTTAAGGAAGTACAGAACTTAACTTAAGACACATTTCTTATTTTAAATCTATTTTCTTATTTTAATATAAAAGGTGTTGACTTATTGACAAGCACATAAATCCATTTGTTTCAAAAGCTAGATATAAAGTAAATTATGGTAGGGGATCTGGTTGATCATAATGCAGCTTGAGACAATAGATAGAAATATAAAGGCAGTTGATAAACTCTTAAGTCATATCAGTACTTCAAAGTGATGAATACATACACATGTTTTCATTTAAAATAGGTTATATTTCATCAAACTATTTTACTAAAGTAATCGAAATGTAATCGAAAGTAATCGATGATTACATCATGATTTTTGCTGTAATAGATTAAATTACGATTACATGTAATCGAAAATGTCTTCAATTACAGATTACTGTCGATTACTGGAAAAAATGTAATCAATTACAATCCATTACAGATTACGATTACCCCATCCCTGGTAGATGATTGGTATTTCTGGGAATGTAGCTTTTTCTTCTTTCCTTTTCTTTTAAAATTTAATAATTAAGTAGTTTTAGAATTTCACTGATTTTATAATTATTATACGACCGCAAAAAAATTTTGTGGTCGTATATTGGTATGACGTTGGCGTCGTCGTCGTCGTCGTCGTCGTCCGGCGTCGTCGTCCGAATACACATTGGTTTTCGCACTCTAACTTTAGTTTAAGTGAATGGATCTCTATGAAATTTTACCATAAGGTTCAATACCTCAAAAGGAAGGTGGGGATTGATTTTGGGGGTTATGGTACCAACAGTTAAGGAATTAGGGGCCAAAAAGGGGCCAAAAATAAGCATTTTTGTAACTTCCAGACATAACTTGTGTGTTAGTGTATGGATCTCTCTGATATTGTACCACAAGGTTCCATATCACAAAGGGAATGCTGGAATAGATTTTGGGGGTAATTGCCTCCAAATTTTAGGAATTAGGGGCCAAAAAGGGGCAAAAAACAAGCATTTTTCTAGTTTCATGACAATAACTTGTATGTAAGTGTATGGATCTCTCTGACATTGTTCCACAAGGTTCCATATCACAAAGGGAATGCTGGGATTGATTTCGGGGGTAATTGCCTCCAAATTTTAGGAATTAGGGGCCAAAAAGGGGCAAAAAACAAGCATTTTTCTAGTTTCATGACAATAACTTGTGTGTAAGTGTATGGATCTTTATGAAATTGTACTACAAGGTTCCATATCACAAAGGGAAAGCTGGAATTGATTTTGGGGGTAATTTCCCACAACGTTCAGGAATAAGGGGCCAAAAAGGGGCCAACAATAAGCATTTTTCTAGTTTCCAGACAATAACTTGTTCAAGTGTATGGATCTCTCCGAAATTGTACTGCAAGGTACCATACCACAAAGGAAAGGCTGGGATTGATTTTGGGGTTAAATCCCTAGAAATTTGAGGAATTAGGGGCCATAATGGGGCAAAAAACAAGCATTTTTCTAGTTTCAGGACAATAACTTGTGTGCAAGTGTATGGATCTTTATGAAATTGTACTGCAAGGTTCCATATCACAAAGGGAAAGCTGGGTTTGAGTTTGGGGGTAATTGCCGTAAATGTTTAGGAATTTTGGGCCAAAAAGGGGCCAAAAAATAAGCATTTTTCTAGTTTCCAGACAATAACTTTTGTTCAAGTGTATTGATCTCCCTGAAATTGTACAGTAATCATACATGTGAACCTCCCGAAGGGAATACAATAACCCCGTTTTCAGGGGTCTCCTCCCGACCTCCCGTTGAAGACAAAAAAATCCTGTGTATGAAATATTTCATGAATGAAAAATTTCAGCCCAACATATCTGGTGTAACTGACATTACCTGAAGTTATATTTTACCTGTAAATCAATTAACATGATAATTATATGGCTTCACTTGTCACCTTGGGTGTCAAACATACTGGTAATCAACGATTTTTACATCAGGCTAACTGCCGTTGTGTAATAAAACTTTGTATATTTATAAATGAATGTTGGGTTACTTCCCTTGATTTATCCTGTTTTAAGTTACTTTCCTTTAAATAATGTAAATTTTTAAAAGAATATAAATAAAATATAAATTGAACAAATAATCATAAAAGGATAGTAATTAAATGATTTTAAATGTCTTAGGACAAATAAAAAAATAATAATTTGAAAATTATTTGAGGGTTCTATACTTCCTTTCAAGGCTTAAATTGAAATTTATATATTAACTATGACCCATGAACACAGTTTGAATGTGTTACTTATCATGCATTAAAAATCTACTTGCATAAAGATTAAAATAAAAGATCTACTTGCAGATAGATAAGCAAATATTCTGATTGCAATGAATAATGGAAAAAAAGATATGACCTAAAAAATTTAAAGAACATACTTAAAAAGAAGAATGTTAGATTGAACAAGTTGAAAGTTTAAAAAGATAGAGAAAATTTATAAGTACAAGGGTACTATAAACATAATACATTCGGATGGAAAGTTGAAGAAAGCACACTTTAACAGACAATTTCTACAGCACACGGTTACATTTATGACAGAATTTATGTCGATTAAAAACCTCCTGATCTGAGTCCTAATCTCCTGACCAAAATTTCCCAAACTCCTGATCTTAGTTTCACAGTCCATCATATGTACTGCAAGGTACCATACCACAAAGGGAAGGCTGGGATTGTGTTTGAGGGTGATGAATCATAAGGAGGTTCAAAAAATTTTGGGGGGAGGGGGATTTTTTTTTCCTTTTTTTTCTTTGAAATTTTCCATTTTAAATTGGTTATTTCTGATTTATATATAAAAGCAAATAATAATGATATGGTTTGAATAGATAAATTAAAAATTTTTAAGTTCTTAGACCACATTCATTCTGTGTCAGAAACCTATGCTGTGTCAAATATTTAATTACAATCCAAATTCAGTGCTGTATCAAGCTTGAATGTTGTGTCCATACTTGCCCCAACTGTTCAGGGTTCGACCTCTGCGGTCGTATCAAGCTGCGCCCCAGCGAAGCATTTTATTATTGGTTAAGTTTTGATCTGATACTTATTAATATGGCAAAGCTAGTTATCAAAAATTTATAGTGCAAACATACTGTACTTATAAAAGCATAACTTTGTAATATTTTGTACATAAAATATTTATGTATAATAAAAGTAATATCTATAATTTAGTTTAACTGTTCTATTCATCACCATTTCTAACATAGATAACAAAACAAAAACATACAGAAGGCAATAAATAAAAGTTTCAACTGCACAACATACAATATGTAAGTAACATGTCCTATTTTTTATTAGATTTGTAATCATTTAGAGGGAAGGGGGATTGCCTTCACTTTTTAATCTTATCTGAACCATATTAGTTCAACATATATCAATAAAAGTATCTTATTAGTCCCCTACCGATGAAGTCGAAGGGGACTTTAGGTTTGCACTCTGTCTGTCTGTCTGTCTGTCCATCCGTCAGTCCGGCAAATCAGTTTTCTGCACGTTTTTTCTTTGTGCTTGAAGATATTGATTTGATAATTGGTGTATTGTTTAATCATGACAAGTTACAGATCAAGGTTGAATTTTGTTCCAGTCTAATAATTTTGTGCAGAGTTATGGTCCTTGGACTTAGAAAATTCACTCAAATAATCAGTTTTTCTCACTTTTTTTCGTCATGCTTGAAGATATTGATTTGATGTCTAGTATATAGTTTTATCATGACAAGTTACAGATCAAGTTCGAATTTTGTTCTGGTCTAATGATTTTGTGCAGAGTTATGGTCCTTGGACTTAGAAAATTTACTCAAATAATCAATTTTCCATAATTTTGTTGGTCATACTTGAAGATATTGACTTGATATTTGTTATATAGTTTACACCATGACAAGTTATAGATCAAGTTAGCATTTTGTTCCAGTACAATGAATTTTTAACTGGTAGGGGACTATGTATTGCCAGGCAATACTCACAGAATGCTTGTATAACTTTTGATATAAAATTAGAAGATATGATTTGCCAATGAGACAACTATCCACCATAGACCAAATGACATAGATATAAGCTCTTGCATGTAAAGGTCAACATATGGTTTTCAACAATAAGCAAAACCAATATCGTATAGTAAGCTATAAAAGACCTGGCATGACATTTTGTTTAACAATTCAAACTAGAAAACAAATGACCTGGTTAATGTGCAAAACAATAAAAGAAATACAAATATGAGAGATGTCAATCAAACACTGTATTACTGGCTCCTGACTTTGTACAGGTATATCCAGAATGTGGCAGGTCAAACATGTCCCCTAACTTGGGACAGTGTTGTAACAACATCTCATAAGAACAACATATCAGGTAAAAAGGACTTGACTCATCAGATCAACAAAAAGCACAAAAACCAACTAACAAAAAGACTGATGACCCAAAGAACCTATAAGAGTATGCACAGTATTTGAAAGTTAGTTCAAAGACAAGTATAGCAAAAAAAAATCCCGGTCTTAAAGTGCACTACATTTTTTGAAAGCTAATATTTACATTAACGAAAACATGATTTAAAGCAGTTCTGTTGATTAATTGTTGAGCTTTCATTTTCAATTTAAGATTATTTCTCAAAAAAAGTTTAAACCCTGAACCAAAACAATTTCTAGACACAGAAAGTGTGTTGACCTCTATATGTCTTTTTGATTTAGTGTTTTAAGGGTTCTGTCTAAATGAGAATTACCCTACATCTCTTTATTCACAATATCAAATTTAGTAAAGGCTTTTCCATAAAAATGGAGGGTGGGAAGGGACTTTCAAATCCCCCTAAATCCAACATATTTCATTGGAATAATTCTGCATAAAACATTTTGACATGAGACAATAAATTTCCAACAATCCATGTCTTGAAATATAACTTCATTTCAGTTTTGCTGCTCTTTTCATGACTTCATTCAAAAGGACTATAGTTTCACAAGTCAAATGGAAAAAAGCTGTAATTGATTTTATACTAATTTGCAACCACTTGTTTTATGTTGATGTAAATCGGCAGATTTTAAGATGATTGTCAATGTTTCATTTACAGCAACAACAGCTATGTTGATCGAATTGCAAAAATAATTGTTTTTAATTTGAAACAAAACATCATAGTGATGAGTCTGGCAAAGTTTGTTTCAGTTGGCCCATTAGTTTAACAGGCAAAGAAGTATCAAGTCCCCATTAGAAGACAGATGTCAAGAGATGAGATGGTATAAGGTCAGGTCACTTAATTGAGACGCCATTAAAATAGTATTGCCGACATAAAAATAGTGGAGTTTACTGAACTGCCTTCAACAATGAGAAAACCCATACTGTATAGTCAGTGAAAAAAGGCCCCAAGTTAAGTTAAATTAGTTAGAAACAATGTCTAAAGTAGTTAATGGTAAAGGTAGATCTGGCGACATTAGATAACATTTGCCCTTAGACAAGATGAGAAAAGAATGAGTCTTCAATTTCACTTTATTGTAGCTTATCTTTTCATATGGTAGACTACCGCTACCTGAAAACTGAAATAAATTTGAAAACACTCAAATAGTTTGTGTTAACTCCATTAAAGAAGAGAAGGATAAATAGACAGTGTGATTTGTGTCTTGCCTGAGACAGTCACTGAAGCGAGACCTAGGTGTGCTGTTTCTGGCGATGGCAACAACAATTTGTTAATGATAAGATTAGGTCATTTTACAGCAAACCACTAATGGCAAGTAAATGATATTTGGTATGAAGTTGTATTAGCCTTGTATCATCTTATTTCTGTGCAGACATTTTGGCCCAACCACCTCAGAGTTTCAGACATGGATTATTGACTTTGAAAGTTTTGTAAAGTTTACAAGTTAAAGTTTGTGATTTAAGGTCAGTTTCAGGTGTCAATAATATTAAGTATGCAGTTGAAAATCTAATGGGTTGTGGATAATTCCATTGTTAGTGCACTATAATGAACATGACATCATATCATTGGTTACTTTTCCATTGTTTAGAAGGCGGTTAGCCAATCACAACGTTTTGGTGTACCCTTTTGAAAATTATACCCAGAATTCATAAGATTCTGAAATGGTGAATTTGCAATGGCACATCTTATTTCCATGGAGTTTTGTTATGTTCTTACCTCATGTTTCTTATGGATTAATAGATTGTCCCTCAGTTTGATAATGTTCAACACTTGGTGTGGCTGATGAGACAATTGGTTATTCTCGAGTATGATTATTTTCTTAAACACTATCCCTGGATTTTATGTTTTACACAGTGTATATGATTTGATTAATTGTCCCAGAGTTTGCTTATGTTCCACATGTTGTGTGACTGATGGGATAATGTGTTGCACGTGTTGCTTTTGATTGTATGATTGCTACTATGATAAGGTTGAAGTCATCCCTTCAAACGATGCCATCATGATTTGTTAGGTTGTTATTGAATATCTGTGTCACAGATGACCATGGGTAGGTTCCAATTTTTGTATTTGCCATGAGTAACACAATAGGTGCCAATAGTGGTGCAGGATCTGCTGGCTTACCTTTTTGAAGTACTGGAGATCAACTGGTTCCTGTTGCTCAGTTCTAAATTTTCTGTGTATTGTTTTGAAGACTTATTTTTTGGCCAATGGAATGTGTTTTCTTTGACTGATGATTTTTTATTGTGCCCTTGGTGTCTTCTTCCTCTCTTTCCTGGTGAGGAGAAACCCTTACCGTAGAAAATCATGATAGAAAATGCAGGCACTGAAAATACCATACAGTAGGAGATAAATATACCCGGTACTGGATATACAGGTGCTGCTGGAATGTTGCTTTTTCATAATTGCATACAACAAATATAGCTCACCTATTGATTATAGTAAGACCAATACACAATAAAATGCTCCGCTGGGCGCAGCTTGATACGACCGCAGAGGTCGAACCCTGAACAGTTGGAGCAAGTATGGACACAACATTTAAGCTTGATACAGCACTGAATTTGGATTGTGATTAAATATTTGACACAGCATAGGTTTCTGACACAGAATGAATGTGGTCTAAGAACTTAAAATTTTTAATTTACCTATTCAAACCATATCATTATTATTTGCTTTTATATATAAATCAGAAATAACCAATTTAAAATGGAAAATTTTAAAGAAAAAAAAAAGAAAAAAATATCCCTCCCCAAAAAATTTTGAACCCCCTTATGATTCATCACCCCCAAATTCAATCCCAGCCTTCCCTTTGTGGTATGGTACCTTGCAGTACAATTTCAGAGAGATCCATACACTTGAACACAAGTTATTGTCTGGAAACTAGAAAAATGTTTGTTTTTAGGCCCCTTTTTGGCCCCAAATTCCTTAACGTTTAAGGCCATTATCCCCAAACTCAAACCCAGCTTTCCCTTTGTGATATGGAACCTTGTAGTACAATTTCAGAGAGATCTATACACTTACACACAAGTTATTGTCCTGAAACTAGAACGGTTGTATAAAAATGCTTGTTTTTTGCCCCTTTTTGGCCCCTAATTCCTAAAATTTTGAGGCAATTACCCCCAAAATCAATCCCAGCAATCCCTTTGTGGAATGGTACCTTGCAGTACAATTTCAGAGAGATCCATACAATCGAACACAAGTTATTGTCTGGAAACTAGAAAAATGTTTGTTTTCAGGCCCCTTTTTGGCCCCAAATTCCTAAACGTTTAAGGCCATTATCCCAAAACTCAAACCAAGCTTTCCCTTTGTGATATGGAACCTTGTAGTACAATTTAAGAGAGATCTATACACTTACACACAAGTTATTGTCCTGAAACTAGAACGGTTGTATAAAAAATGCTTGTTTTTTGCCCCTTTTTGGCCCCTAATTCCTAAAATTTTGAGGCAATTACCCCCAAACTCAATCCCAGCCTTCCCTTTGTGGTATGGTACCTTGCAGTACAATTTCAGAGAGATCCATACAATCAAACACAAGTTATTGTCTGGAAACTAGAAAAATGCTTATTTTTGGCCCTTATTCCTAAACGCTTTGGGCAATTACCCCCAAACTCAATTCCAGCTTTCCCTTTGTGATATGGAACCTTGTAGTACAATTTCATAAAGATCAATACACTTACACACAAGTTATTGTCATAAAACTAGAAAAATGCTTGTTTTTTGCCCCTTTTTGGCCCCTTATTCCTAAAATTTTGAAGCAATTACCCCCAAAATCAATCCCAGCATTCCCTTTGTGATATGGAACCTTGTGGTACAATGTCAGAGGATCCATACACTAACACACAAGTTATGTCTGGAAGTTACAAAAAAACTGCTTCGCTGAGCGCAGCTGGATACACCTGCAGAGGTCCAACCCTGAACAGTTGGGGCAAAAATGGACACAATATTCAAGCTTGATACAGGTCTGAATTTGGATTGTATTAAATATTTGACATACTATAGGTTTCTGAATAAATGTAGTCAAAGAACTTGAAATTGGTTATATGAATTGAATTTATATTCAATTAAAGATTTATTGCTGTTGTGCAATACACTGTGCTGTAGCATAATACTTAGTAAATCTGTTGTCAGACTATAAACAATTAAAGTTCAATTTATTCTCAATGTCATATTAGAAATTTATGAAAATGTACAGGGAGCTTACATCAATAGATATAAACAATTCACCAAAGTTTCATGAGAATTGCTGACAGCATTTTTGAGTTATTGTCCGAAAACTGGAAAATCCCCCCTTTTTTAATGAATAAAACCCCATAACTCAGAAATGTAAAATATAAAATTCATAAAATTCTAAACGGAGCTTACATCAATAGATATAAACAATTCACCAAAGTTTCATAAGAACTGCTGAAAGCATTTTTGATTTTTTGTCTGAAAACTGGAAAATCCCCCTTTTTTTATGAATAAAACCCTGTAACTCGGAAACGTAAAATCTAAAAGATATAAAAATCGATAGGGAGATCATATCAATAGATATAAACAATTCACCACAATTTCTTGCAAGTTGGTGAAAGCATTCTTGAGTTATTGTCCGAAAACTGGAAAATCCCCCTTTTTTTAATGAATAAAACCCCATAACTCGGAAAATCTAAAATTTATAAAAAACGAAAGGGAGCTCATGTCAATAGATATAAACAATTCACCAAAGTTTTATGCAAATTGGTTAAAGCGTTTTTGAGTTAATGTCCGACATGCTGACGACGGACTGACAGATGGACGGACAGACAGACGGACAACGGTATACCATAATACGTCCCGTAAACAGGCGTATAAAAATGCTTATTTTTGGCCCCTAATTCCTTAACTGTTGGTACCATAACCCCCAAAATCAATCCCAACCTTCCTTTTGTGGTATTGAACCTTATGGTAAAATTTAATAGAGATCGATTCACTTAAACTAAAGTTAGAGTGCGAAAACTAATGTGTCTTCGGACGACGACGACGCCGCCGCCAATCTCATACCAATATACGACCGCAAAATTTTTTTGCGGTCGTATAAAAACTTAACATTGACCAATTACCATAAAAATGTGGTCAAGATCTGATAAACCCTTGCCAGACTGACATGTACACCTTACAATAATTTTGTACACCAAATATAGTTGTCCTACTGCTTAATAGTATCTGAGAATTGGCCTAACAATAACAAAATACCTTTATCATTGATCCATGAAATGAGGTTGAGGTCAGGTGAACCTTATTCTAAGGAGATGTTTACCTTTTAAGGATCCCATATACCAAGCATATAGTTATCCTTTTACTCGTAATAAGTGAGATGCAGTTTTTTCAAGAAGTTGATGAAGTAGGAATATGAGGTCAAGGACAATGAACATATGAGAGACGGAAACTCTAGATCTGTAACATAAGGAAGCTATATACAAGGTATAAAGCATTCAGTTCTTCTACCTACTGAAATATAAAGGTTATACTATATACAAGGTATAAAGCATTCAGTACTTCTACCTACTGAAATATAAAGGTTAGACAAATAGTTTACACTGTCATTGCAGTTTCCTAAAAAAACCATCCTTCCTTTTTTGCATAGTCAATGGCAAAATAATGATTTTTATAAAACATTATACATTTATTTCCCATGCCTGAGGGAGATATGAAGATTTGTTCACCCAAGAATATTCATATTTCATGAGGGCTCTGCCCCAGGGAAATATGATTTTTCGAGGGTGAGCAAATCTTCATATCTCCCGAGGCAAAGGGAAATGAATGTTTTATTCCACTGCCTATGCTTTGTTTACTGTCAATACATTAATTATTATTTTGCATACATTTTTTTTTCTTATCCGCTTGTTTTTATAAGTTAAACTTAACATGACATACACATTGATAAACAGTACGGATCAAAAGTTCATTATAAGTCTTTTTGTTTTATCGTCTGAAATAAATTTGAATATGAGAATGATTTTTGCTATCACTATTTTAAGAAGAATAAGAATTTCAAAATGTTATGTACATTAACTGCGCATAACGCCGCATGATGTAATCCCGACATTTCAGAGGGGAATATGATCCTCAGAAGGGAATATGAAGATTTGTTCAATGACATGTGGGATAGTCTCAACCAATCAAATATTGATTAAACTATCAATATGTATAAACAGTGGAATAATATCTTTGAACTTTATGTCTAACACAATAAAACTTTACGGTATAGTATAATATGGCTTTATGTTTTTTCTTTAAGATTGGCAAACAAAAATGTAGTTTGTTTTACTTGAGTTATTCCCTTCTTTCAGGTTTAAATCATCTCAAGAATATCTTTCTCATTTTCCTATTTTCTGTAAATGAGCAGTATTTATAAGTAAATAGTATAAGCCATTCATATCATGGAGTTGTTTGGTTCAATTTAACAATCAGTCTATCTATGTTAATAATTAAAGCAATTTCTACAAATATTTATTTACAGAACAAAAACACATTATAGAAATCATGATTTCACTTTCATTTTTGATGTAGAGGGTTGATCAAGTTCATGTTCATATTCTATTTCCACTTTAGGTCGTTTTCTAGGACGTTTCCCTTTAGCTTTACTGGTCTCCTCTTCTGAACTACTTTCCTCACTGTCAGATGCAAACATAGCTTCCCGATCCTGAAAAAATGAACATATTGGAATACTTTGTGCATAAAATTCAGGACATCTAAGTTCATTATGAATATGAATATAGCCGACCATACAGTATGGATTTTTCTCATTGTTGAAGGCCGTACGGTTGCCTATAATTGCTTACATCCACTTCATTTGAACTTTGGTGGATAGTTGTCTCATTGGCAATCGTACCACATCTCCTTATTTTTATATAACTGTATAATATTTAAGCACTTTGAGTATATAACGATATGATATTTAAATACTTTGTGTATATAACTATATAATATTTAAATACTTTGCAGCTTCATGTATATGAGATTTCAAAAGTTAAGTACCAAATGAAATACATAAGTCATTTCTTCTATATAAAAATGTATGACTAAGATTGAGCAATTATGATCCCTGAATGAGAGTACACAATCTCGAATCACAGCTCAGGTAAATAAGACTTATCAAGAGACCCTGTAATATAATATTTGCATTTTCCCTTCTTCCATTGCTTGGTTAGAGATAAAATTCACACAATATTTGCAATATTAACTTTATAATTTTTTAATATTTTCTTGAAAATCTCTTAAATGGATATCAAGTATAAATCTTTTTAAAAAAGAATTCATCTCTCAGTTGACAAAAGACATTGTTTTATTTAAAAAAGAATTCATCTCTCAGTTGACAAAAGACAAATCACTTTTTATATAATTTGAAATTTAGCAAATACACATATAAATGTTTGTTTTATTTTTATATTTCATTTTTCTTTCAATCAGCATAGTTTTGGCATCCATTGTTTTATTTATTTTTAATTTAAATTAAACAATAATTTTCTCGCTAGAGTTACCTGATGTAATGATTGCCATGTGTTCCCCATTGTAAGTGATGTAAATGGAGAAATAAACATGGTTGTATTAGTTTGTTTATTTTGCTTTTTAAAATTGTCTACCTAAGGTTAAAGAAAGAAAAAAAATGATATACTGGCCCTTATTCCATTCTGTCCCAAAACTATTTATTACAGGCTTTTAGAAGTGGATGTCATTATTTTAAGAATGTTACTTTGGTATTTATTTTAAAAGAATGCATCTTTAATGTTAATAATGATCATTTATAGAAATATCCATCCTTTGTACAAACATAACAGATAAAATGTATTATGAATATTAAGTACCATATAATTAATAAGTGTGATTTAAATCTGCAGTACTTGGAATATAATTTTGCTCAGGTGCCAGTACTTTAAATCATACTGGCAAGCTATATGTACTGATTATTAGGTTTTTTTGCATATTGAATGATAATATAAAATATCAGCTTCAAGTGACAATATATAAACTTTCTGACGAGTGAGTGCAGTGAATGGGTTCAAAAAGGCTTCATATTGTTTCAAGCAGCTGATATCTTACAATATCAATTTGATGAAAATAAGATAATCAATTAATCAGATTGTTTTTATGTAAACAATAGATTTCCTTTGTTTCACCAGCAACCAGAAGAAAACATGATAAGTTTTGGTCAAACTAAAGATTCATCTTTAACTTGTGCAAATTTTCATTTTGGAAAGTATTTTAGGACAGCATCTAGACAATTGTACCATGATCTACATTAGTAACCAATTGTTATAGGATCATACTTAACATGTATAAATACTCATTTTGGGGAATAGGTCAATATTCTGACATAAGTTAGTCATTGTGACCTACATTTAATACTCAATTCACTTCGGCTATGTTATACTCCTCAGTTTATATCTCTTAAACTAGTGATATAGGATCATCTAACCTTTTGTCACAATGTACCTTGGGAAATAGGTTAGCATGAGGTCAACAGTAGGTCCATTTGGCATTGATTTTATGCTTCACTGACCTTCGTTAAGTTTTTTTTATCTTAGTTTATATCTCGTTTATTATTGCTTTTCTGACATTAGGTCATTAAGATATATTGTGCAGGTTAAGGGTACCCTTTTTCATCAGGTTTGTGTGCATTAATACTAAAACTGTTTTCAATAATTTAACATGGATATAGTAATTACCTCCATATCAGACAGATCACTTTCTTCTATTTCATCTTCTGCCACATACTCAATTTCATCGTCAGTCTATAAATAGAAAAAGGTAGCAATATTAATCAAGTTGAAAGAGTACATAAAAGTAATGCAAGTATTTTCTTCTATGTGATATTAAACAGATAATAACTTACTTTTAGATGTTAATGCATAAAAATCATTTTGCTTCTAAATATACTGTCTGAATCATGTTTCGATCTTACTACAAATGTTTAAATGAAATGAAATGTGGGGTACCTGTAAACATCAATAAAACAGCAAAATTTAAAAGTAAAATGCATAGGTCACAATATGGTTTCAACATTGGAAAATTCAATGCATGACAACCTCTTAATCACCTCTGGTCTAGACCAGATGAATTTCCAAATAAACATTGAATACTAATATCTTGACTGAGCATTATTTACAGCCGATTCCATTGAGTGTGTAGGCATTACTAGGTAAGGTAAACTACCCTCCTGTCGAAGTAGCCTAGTCCTACAGACAGATAGATTGGTTAACTGTCGGACTAGTCTACTCTTAAAGGAGGGTAGTTTACCTAACCTAATAATGACTTAATGGTTCAGCTAGCAAGCAAGCTAACAGAAGATATTACCTTTACCTACACACTCAATGCAATCAGCTGTAATACAGTAAAAGCTGGTAGGTTTTGGTGTCTGTCCCACGAATCTCTATGCCATTGCTGTTTTCTTTTCAAATCTGTCTGATTGTCATAGCTGAATTCATTCATGTAATACCATATAATTACTAATAAACTGCTTCGCTGAGCGCAGCTGGATACGCCCGCAGAGGTCCAACCCTGAACAGTTGGGGCAAAAATGGACACAATATTCAAGCTTGATACAGGTCTGAATTTGGATTGTAATTAAATGTTTGACATATTATAGGTTTCTGAAAAGATGTAGTCAAAGAACTTAAAATTGGTTATATGAATTGAATTTATATTCAATTAAAGATTTATTGCTGTTGTGCAATACACTGTGCTGTTGCGCAATACTTAGTAAATCTGTTGTCAGACTATAAACAAATAAAGTTCAATTTCTTCTCAATGTCATATTTGAAATTTATGAAAATCAATAGGGAGATTACATCAATAGCTATCAATAATTCACCAAAGTTTCATGAGAACTGCTGAAAGCATTTTTGAGTTATTGTCCAAAAACTGGAAAATCCCCCTTTTTTTAATGAATAAAACCCCATAACTCAGAAATGTAAAATCTAAAATTTATAAAATTCTAAAGGGAGCTTACATCAACAGATATAAACAATTCACCAAAGTTTCATGCATATTGGTTAAAACTTTTTTGAGTTAATGTCCGACATGTTGACGACGGACAGACGGACAGACGGACGGACAGACGGTCAACGGTACCGGTATACCATAATATGTCCCTTAAACGGGCGTATAAAAATGACCCATAGCAGAAACATCTGCAGCCTTACCAACAACGGGCCTAAACAAAACATCTACAACTGTACCAACAATAGGCCTACACAAAACATCAACAGCCTTACCAACAATGGGTCTACACAATAAAATCTACAGCCTTACCAAAAATGGGTCTACACATAACATCTACAGCCTTACCAACAATAGGCCTACACAAAACATCAACAGCCTTACCAACAATAGGCCTACACAAAACATCAACAGCCTTACCATCAATGGGTCTACACAAAAAACATCTACAGCCTTACCAACAATAGGCCTACACAAAACATCAACAGCCTTACCAACAATGGGTCTACACAATAAAATCTACAGCCTTACTAATAATGGGACTATACAAAACATCTGCAACCGTACCAAAAATGGGCCTCCACAATAAAATCTACAGCCTTACCAACAATGGGCCTACACAAAACATCTGCAGCCTTACCAAAAATGAGCCTACACAAAACATCTACAACTGTTCCAACAATGGGCCTTCACAAAACATCAACAGCCTTACCAACAATTGGTCTACACAATAAAATCTACAGTCGTACCAAAAATTCGACCTACACAAAACATTTACAGCCTTACCAATAATGGGTCTACACACAACATCTACATCCTTACCAATAATGGGCCTACACAAAACATCTGCAGCCTTACCAACAATGAGCCTACACAAAACATCTACAACTGTACCAACAATGGGCCTACACAAAACATCTTCAGTCTTACCAACAATGAACCTTCACAAAACATCTACAACTGTACCAACAATGAGCCTACACAAAACATCTACAACTGTACCAACAATGGGCCTACACCAAACATCTTCAGTCTTACCAACAATGGGCTTACACAAAACATTAACAGCCTTATTTACCAATAATAAATAATTCTGATATTGGATGCAAGCCTTTACAGTCAATATACATGTATGGCCCAAAAACTTCTTTTGACTTAGTATGAATTAAAAGTATTCTTGATGGAATTTAATGTTTTTTGTTACTAAGTTGTACATACATTACTAGGACCTATAGACAGGAACACCAACTAAATGAAGCCTGACCAGTAATTAAGACATGAGAACAATATGTTTTATTCATAAACATGACAATTTGTTTTTATAACTGTTTTTGTTGCTGTTCCATACAAAACAAATTATGTGTATATTTTTCTATAATGTAGTGAAAGAAAGGGGTGCAATAAAACATCAAATTCCCCCTCCCTTCAGTGTATGCACCTACACATGATATTATCAATTTATAGAGTAAAATAGTCCACTATAATAAATATATGTAAATAAATATATGTATAGCGAAACAGCCTACTAAGGTATATAATTATTACATGGACTTTTTATAGAAAATTGTTACTATTACTGAGGGCCAAACATGATGGCATTGTGGTGCAAGTCAAATAAATTGGGAATGTGTCCCATGGACAGATGATGCCCCCACTTACATATAATATAAAGTTATAAAGGGACATAACTGAAGAACGGTAAAAGGGAAACTATCCAAATTTGTACTTGATCTGAGCTTTGTGGTAATAAGTATTGTGTATAAGTCTCATAACATTTGGTTGAGGCTAACTTAAGTTAGAGAACAGAAATGAAAAATTCAGCAATTTTCCATTTGTAAACAGGCATAACTCTAAAACAGTAAAAGTGACACCACCAAAATTTAAAGTTGATCTGTATTTTGTGGTAATAAGCATTGTGTATAAGTTTCATAACATTTGGTTGAGGCAAACTAAAGTTAGAGAACGGAAACGAAAAATTCAGCAATTTTTATGTTTATAAAGCGGCATAACTCAAGAACGGTAAAAGGTACGCCACCCAACCTCAAACTTGATCTGTATTATGTGGTAATAAGCATTGTATATAAGTTTCATAACATTTGGTTGAGGCAAACTAAAGTAAGAGAATGGAAACGAAAAATTATGCAATTTTTATGTTTATAAAGGGGCATAACTCAAGAACGGTATAAGTGATGCCACCCAATTTGGAACTTGATCTGTATTATGTGGTTATAAGCATTGTGTATAAGTTTCATATTATTTGGTTGAGGCAAACTAAAGTGAGAAAACGGAAACGAAAAATTCAGCAATTTTTCCATTTGTAAAGGGGCATAACTCTAGAACAGTTATAGTGACGCCACCAAAATTCAAACTTGATCTGTGTTTTGTGGTAATAAGCATTGTGTAAAAGTTTCATAACATTTGGTTGAGGCAAACTAAAGTTAGAGAACTGAAACCAACTTTGGGATGTACGGACGGACGTACAGATGGACAAGGGTAAAACTTAATGCCCCCTCGGGTAAGGCGGGGGCATAAAAATGGCCAAAGTACTCATCCAGTAAGAAGAATCCAATCAAAGTGATGTAATGGTTAACTACGCAAGTATGAGAGCGTTCTGTCAAACAGTCTCAGAGGAATTGCATTCACAATGTCATCGTGGTTAGAATAGTCCAAAAAATAAAAAAAAGGTCCCATAACTCCTGTAAAAATGTTCTAATAAAAATGACAGTTATATAATGTCAACCACACATGATGGCAAACAATTCTACTAAGAAAGAAAGCTTTCTGTCAAATGGTCTCATAGGAGTTGCATTCACCAAGTTTTACAATAGTAAAAAAAAAACTGTCAAAGTCCTAAAACTTTAAATTGTAAAGTAAACTGCTGGTATTGTATGTCTATGGTCAAGTGAATATATTGCTCAATTGTTTAGGGAGAAAAACAATGTTTTATAATAAGGGTTTGTATAAGGGGGTTAATAGACTCATCCAAAACTAGGTAAGAAACGCATAGAAGTGTAACGTTTGGGGTAAAAAAAATATAATTTAATAGTCAGTGAAAACAATAAAAAATACAATATCAAAATATGGTACCGATATGCCTGTGATACATATTTGTAAAAAGTAATGTTTTCTTCACAATCATATCAAAAGTTTAAAAGCAACAACAACATACAATGCTTTAATACCAATCAAGTAATTAAATAGGATTTCTCAAAGAAACCAAACACAACAAAATTGCAATTAATCAACAGATATCCATAAAACGGAGAATGAATAAAGACAATACAAAATACCTTTCATTCAAATCAACTATATGTCTTTTTTGTTCATTCATAGTAAGGTTTAAAACAAACGATACCCACTACTAGGTTTTTAACAACCTTGACTACCATAATTGTTTACATGATCTCATTCATATCTAACAATAATGGCGTTCTCTAAGTCTGTTATTAGAAGTCAGGCCCCAACAAAATGTGGAATATGTGAAACTGACCGAACAATTAAGTGGAAGTGTATTGATTGTGATAATTTATTGTGCAATCATTGCAAAGAAAAAGTCCATCCAAAATTCCAAAATGCCAAGGATCATCTGGTTGTAAGTATCAAAGATGTGGGACAACCGACTGTCGTAGAACTAAACATTAATAAACAATATCAGACTGAATTATCTGCAGTAACTAATATGTCATATTGTGATGATGATTCACTGTGGATATATAATTACATAGATAAAGTATTACAGAGAGTAAAACCTGAAGGAACCAAACTGAACATACTATCCAGCTTTAATATCAAG